TACTGAGCAAATTATTTTTTATTTAACAAGAATATTTCAACAAATTCTTGCATTGATTTTAAATGTGATCGAGTTTAGTAATTTTTAAAGCAATCTATGCGATTGCATACAAAGAATGTAACTTCGTTCGAAACAAACACTGACTCTAAGATTGCATTGCACGCAATCACAATTGAAGATCTAAAAATGAAAGTTTAGTTAAAGCAAGTCGTAGCGTACTTCTATTTATTTATTACGTTACTAATAAAAAATATATTATTCATTTTAAAATTCAATTATTTAAACTACATATATTCCAAAAATTCTGGAATTGTACTATTATTTTAATGTTTTAATTATTAATAAAAAAAAGAATTCAAATGATGTAACCACAACCTTTTAAACTATATGAAAAAAAATATAAAATACAAACGAACAAATGTCACATTGCATTCTATCTATCAAAAAATATATTTAATCGCGATAGGGCTATTTTTACAGAAGTATGCTAATTGCGTGAATACCTATAAGAAAGAATAGATATAGCATTAATGTAAAACTAAGCAAGCTACAATATTTATAAATAATCATTTAAACAATTAATTAGAATCTATTGTACGTGTCTTGAATTATTTATGTGAATTTAATACCACAATAAATGAAATGAATTTAAATTAATAAAATTTAAACAACAATTGCAACGTGTAATTAAATAATTAATTCAGTGAATCGTTTCATTCATATTACAATTTAATTAATGATGCAAGAAATTAAAATTTTGTAATGCATCGAACGTCAGCCATTAGCCCGACAGTGCTTACGTTGCACCATACAAATTCTATGAACACCGTAAGCAACATCGGTTACCAGATCTCACCACGGGGAGGTTGCTGCGTCAGAGATCCATTTAGAAATTAACGAATAAATCTCTAAAATTAAATAAAAATTAATAAAAACTAACGAAAAAAAAATATTTGCACGTAGTTGCACGTTCCACCATTAATTAGTATGATTTCAATTATATAATGGTGAACGTCTTTCCAAAACGATGGAAAGAATGGGATGATGGCAAACGTTTATCTAAAACCATAAGAAGAATGGGATTTTGTTAAAAATCTTTCCGAAACCATAAAAAAATATAATATAAGATGCTGTAATTCTGATTAGAGATCTTCTTACCTAATTTCAAGACATTCACATCATCCGATAATGACTGCATAAGTCTGTAAATTAAATGAAATTTTATTAGATATTAGATTATGTTATAAAATATTATTTAATCACGCAGGAATAAATACTCGCACGAAGAGCGAAAACGTTACGTCTCTTCTGTACGTTGTTCCAAATCAAAATAAGATGTGTCGTATGTATTGAATAATCTCTCCCCTCTTACTCACCTTAACCGCTCGTTAGAGAATGTTTTTCTATCTGTACTTGATAAAGGATAGACTTCCTGGAATTTACCGAGGGATATAAACATAACCGATGTTCGTCTCGTTTGACTTTGACCTCAAATCAACTTTGCCACGATACATTAGTATTATATGGATTGAAAATAATAAATAAAAAGTAAATATACGCATGTTAAATTAACAGAACGATGATACTTCGCTACAAAAAACACCAATAACGTATAAAAAATGACCGATTCATCCGAGCTCAGCAAGAAACGAACCCCTTGCACATGCGTGTGATGTCCCGTAACGAACGAAATTAGATGAATATTTTCTTATTTAGAAATTCAAATTGATTATCGCGTTTTATACACACACATACGTAACTCGTCTTTCATCTTGACTACATTAGTCAAATAAGATATATTATACATAATATATTTATTAAATAAATCAAAAATCAATTCGTTTTTTCTATTACATGTATCTCTTGTAAATATTCAAAAAATAACGAAGAGAATAAATTCACATAATTTCTATCGATAATAAAACATTTTATAGTAAAATTCAAATAAATATGATTATCAATAATTATAAACATTAATGAATTAAATATATGTACGTATGCAAATATTCTGGTTTAAACTAATGAGCAATTGTATTAAATATTGAATTCCATGATGTTGTAAAAAGAATAAATATACATGTGTATATATAAAATCATTAAGTTTTAATGAACGATCTCGCAGTAAGGAAGTCACGTGAGTTTGAACGATGATCGGAATTTGTCGCGATTAAGTTTCTCTACAGCAAGTTTCGTTACGAGAATAGATGCTTGAATGGCTCGAAGGGATTAGAGAAACGCGAGATCATTATTTATGCCTTTGCTCGGCACCATACGAGAGCTATCCTGCTTGTTGGGTCTTACGTCTACCTGTTTAAATTTATCATACGTCATGAGCTCTCTGGCTCTGCGTGCCTCCACGACTTTTGCAATAAACGAGCTTTAACTTTTGCATGACCGATGTGATTTCTACAAAAATGTTTCCTTTTATTTTTATTTGAAATATTTATAATATTTATTTGTCATACCTACGATTAGAATTATCACGTGTACGTATATACAATTTTTTGGTATTATAATTTCAAACTCGTTACGACGTATTCTCACAGGTTTTTTTTTATGAACCTATAACTATAATTTTATATACGAGTAATATAAAATTACAAAAATATATTTATATATTATTATATTAAATTAAATTAATAATAATATAGAAAGTATTTTACAAAAAAAAAACCATTTTATTACCAAATAAAATATACATGCGTACACACACACACACACACACACACACAAACATATTTAACTGTGCATAAAATGTTAAACAACAAAAAGTCTATATACTCGTAACACAAAAATTTGAAATTATTTATATTTATAAATAAATATAATATGGAATATATCTTAAAATAAACAATATTACGAAGTGAATGAATTCAAACAAGCGTTAAGATCATTCGGATAAGGATGAACATGTACTATGCGAGAATGGTACAAGAATTAAATTCGAACATGCGAACATGTTGGTGTATAGAGAAGTGCATAGATTATTCAGATTGAAATTCGCTCGATGCCGACGGATCGGTGGCTATTAGCGTGCGTAACGTCGTTGTTGCTCGTTAAGCTAATAAATTAAACGAGCCGCTTGAACGAGCGTTATAATTACGACGATGTCACACCGTACGTAGTTCGCGCCTCGATTCCGATTATCGTTTCAGGACTACCACGACATATCCTACCTTCATCCTCCGTAAAATAGCACGAGTCTTGATCATTTTTACTATTTTTCTTTGTTTTTTTTTTTACTTCAATCTTACGTTCATCGGCATACCGATCGTATCGTTTTCTCTTCGTTATCTTGTATTTTTTTTTGTTCTCTCTAGAAACCATCTTATAGATATATATATTTATCTAATTAAATCATTCCTATTTTTAATGTAATTTTTATATTTTTTTTTTTATTTGTATCATCGAAGTTGTGCATAGATAAGAATTTATCTATACGTATAATCGATTTATTTCTAGATGAATTTAACTTAATTGCAGATAAGTTTTATACGTTGTTAATTAGGTATTTATTTTTTTACTTTTAAAATAATTAAGTTACAATTTTATCAGAGATGTTTCCCCCATAATTGAAGTTAACTCGAATTAAAATATACCTTCTAGCATAATTGTAATTTACAAATTTTTTAAATACTAGTACCTAATCAACGAGTAATTAAATGGTTATGATTAACAGATACACAAATACATAGAATATTTTCTTATCAACTTATGCAATAACATTTTTCTAATAATTTTTCTTAATTAAACTTTATCACTTAATTCATTTCAATTAAGTAAAATATTTCGATAAATCAACTCTCGATTGAGAATGTTAATAAATTATTATACACTTTTATTATTATCGAGTTAACACGAAGTATTGTTTGTTCATATATAGTCAATATATGCAAATAATAATAAATAAACATGGAAATAAATTGTCTCACAATTTTCCTACAACTCCTAAGATACCTGATTTGAATACAATGCTTGTATAAATATACTTGTATGTCCGACGAATCACTAATTGCGAAATGCGATCGATCGATCGATCGATCGTTCGTTCGTTCGTTCGTTCGAACGATCTATCGATCCTTGTTGATCTTTTCGACGACAAAATTCGTCCGGTTAATTTTACGCGTGCTAATTCAACAACGAAAACGACAACAACACGGATTTATCGTTTTAGGGCGGTAACTACTAAGATAAGGGGAGGTGAGAGAGGTGGGGGAGGAATCAGAGAGAGAAAGAGAGAGGGAAAACAAGATCCTACTAGAAATTGATTGAATATTTATGAAGCTTGCGCGTATTGATTTATACCTAAAACCTTTCAGAGTGAACTTTCATGAATATATTATTATCACGATCGATCTAAAGATAAATCATTCTCTTCTCGAGCTTACTATCGCCTCTCGCTGACATGAAACTTTATGAATAATTATTAAATCCTATAAGTTCTAAGGTGCCGATTAAAAAAAAAAAAAAATAAACAACGGAAAACGCGTGTAATCTACACGCGACCAGTTTTTCTTCAGTTCTTTTTTCATGTTGGTATTATAACTATATTGAATTATTATATTATTAATTATTTTTTTCTGCACACTTGCAGTTAACACGAAAACGGAAATTATTGAAAGTATCTGTAAATATAAACCTAAAGTCGTCCGGTAACATTTGCGAATGTTTAAATTAACATAAATTGAAATAATCGATTTTTCGTAAAAAATAAAATTTATTTTAGATTTTAAATTGTCTATTTTATGAAACAATCATATAATGTTCGTCCTTTCATAATTTTCTAATTTACATGAAATTCACTTTAATATTAATAATAAATAATATTAATAAAAAATATTGAATTAATTTTGTAATAGAAATTATCGTTATGATTGTAAAAAGTTAAAATTCATTTTAAATTGCACTTTGTACATACTATATGAATTCATGAATCATGCCGTAACATTATGCATAGAATTAATTTTTTTTACAATATTTTATTTCTTTAATGTCAACAGGATGTCGTTGCAACATGATAGGATCAATCAGTTCAGCATGCGATATAGTGACCGGCCAATGTCAATGCAAATCTCACGTAATCGGTAGACAATGCGATCAATGTCAGGTGAGTTCTTTTTTGTTCTTTTTATTATTTTATCCTTCACGCAAATAAAAGAAAAAAACATTTCACTGGTAAAAATCGTATTCGTAATCGGCATGAAATTTCATCGCAGACAGATTACTGGGGCTTGACAACGGCGGCAGGATGTACACCATGCAATTGCGATCCCATAGGTGCTTTTAATTCTTCCTGCCAACAAAATACAGGATCGTGTTATTGCAGACCAGGTGTGGCTGGTCCACGTTGCGATACCTGTCTCACCGGTTATTATGGTTTCTCGACTAATGGTTGTCAAAGTGAGTTAATTGTTTCAATTTTGTCGATTTTTATTTAACACGAAATCATACTTTTTATTTTAATTTATAATTTATTATATTTACTATACACAAAAAATATTTGTTTTAATTAAAAAGGATGCGATACCTGCGTAAGACCAGGACACATATGTGATCCCGATACTGGACGTTGCGTTTGCCCAAGCTTGACCTATGGTGAACACTGTGATCGATGTAGACCAGGTTCATGGAACCTTATTCCAGGAATTGGGTGCAAGCCATGTGCCTGTACTTTAGGTTCAACGAAATCTCAATGTGATAGTCGAGGTCAATGCGTTTGCAGAATCGGTTACGATGGTCTTAGATGTGAAAAATGTGCTAAGGGTTATTATGGTTATCCGAGATGTCATCCGTGTGGTTGCAATCCTGCTGGTACACTTACTTGTAACGGAGAAGTTTGTGATTGCAATGAAAGTGGTCAATGTCCTTGTAAGGTAAATTACAAATTTTTTATTATAATATTAATATTTTATTCAATATTATATTAAATGTTATATTCGATATTTATGCGTAGAAATATTCTATCTTAATCAGACACGGTTATTTTATAAGATCTTATAAAATGGTAAATATATATTCTGTCAATTATTTTATTTTTCTTTCAAATTTGTTTACGTGTATGTAAAAATTATTTTTTTAATTGCTAAATAATTATATATATATATATATATGAAATGTAATATAATTTTGTTTTCTTCACATTTGTATATAAATTAGGAAAACGTCGTAGGCAGACAATGTGATTTGTGCAAGAACAGTACCTTCGGTTTGGCTAAAGACAATCCAAAGGGTTGCACCGAATGTTTCTGCTTTGGTAGAAGCAAACATTGTCAACAGGCTGGTTTTAGTTGGGGATTGAGAAGAATTCAAAAACCTAGGACACTCTATATCAATGAATCGGTCAATGATATTATGGTAAACCTTCTTAAAATAATTTATACAATCTAATCGTTCCAATTAATGAATTATTTATTTACTAATATTCCAATTGTAGATTACCGATTCAAGTTCAACGTCAACATTTTTTTCCTCCAATAGTGAATTAGAAGTTAGGAATGATTTGACAATAATTCCAAACACAGAAGGAGACGTAATCCTTCCAGCTAATTTCTATTACAATTATCCCCTTTATTGGAGATTACCATCAACATTTTTAGGCGATAAGGTATAAATAATGAATATTCTTTTTGCATATAAAAATATGTAATCATTTAAATTAATCATTTAACAATCAAGGTTATATCTTATGGCGGATTGTTACGTTTTTCTACATCAACCGATGGTGGAATATCATTGAGAACAACGCACAAATATCCACTTGTACAATTGCAAGGAAATAACAGGATCATATTAGAATATTACTTGCACACACCTGTTAAAGATAATCATTACGAAGTCAGGTAGGTATAAAAAAAGAAAAAAAACCCTTTCAAATATCTTCAAGTGATAGTGTCATTTTCTTCGTAGATTTCACGAATCTTTATGGCAATTATACGGCAGACCGGATTACAAAGTAACGAGAGAGGTATTAATGGTTGCTTTACAAAACATTCAACAAATTATCATCAAAGCTACGGACAATGCAGATTTCACAAAAACGAGGTAATCCAATAAGACACACACACGCGTATATTCAATTAGAATAAATAAAAAATCATAGATAAGAGTAATCGTATAAAAAAAAAAAATACAAATTTAATTGTTAGCCTGTTGGAAGCATCGATGGAAGCTGCAGTATTAACTCACACCCATTCACCACCACTGGCAAGTGGTGTAGAGATTTGTCAGTGTCCTCCGGAATATAACGGGACATCTTGTCAGGATCCAAGTATTGGTTACTATAGATCGTATGAAAACATAAACATCACGTCGACCATAGTAATTGATCTTGTGGGACAGGCTAGGCCATGTCAGTGCAGCGGTAGATCAGAGATATGTGACAGAGAGACGGGATATTGTCAAGTGAGTGACTAGGATCTTCTCTAACTGCTTGTCGTACATAACGAACCGTGTAATCGTAAACACCATAGGTATCTACATACCTAGATAGTTAGATGATACTGTATAATGTTTCATGGACTTGTGTCTATGTTATTTTATTTGTAGAATTGCCGTGGCAACACCATTGGCCCGAGATGTGAGATCTGTGCTGATAGTTTTTACGGACACCCCGATATAGGTGGTTGTAAACCTTGTCCATGTCCACAGGTTGATAAAAGATTCTCGAGTAGCTGTATCGTTCGGGATGATAGCGAACCAATTTGTCATTGCAAACCTGGTTGGTAAATTATTTCATATTATTGCATTTTATTTTTTTTTTTATATTTCCTTTTTACGAGTCCGAGTCATTTCTCTTCTAAACACCTACTCAATCTTATTCAATACTACCAAAGAGATTGACACTCTGAAATCAACGGTGAACGATTTTTATTTTTACTAAAAATACCCACATTGCTTTATTTTAATGATCTAAAAAAAAAAAAACCTAGTAATCCAACGTAACTAGTCTGTTTTTTTATCTTATATTATTTTATAATATAATATTTTATAAATAAATAAATGACGTTTTTTTCTTTTTTAACACAGGTTATACCGGTAGAATGTGCGAACGTTGTACACACAATTATTATGGTTTCCCTAATCTACCCGGTGGCCAATGCGTACCATGCAATTGCAATTTGGCTGGTAGTACGAGTGACAGATGTGATGATAAAACTGGACAATGCAATTGTCGTTCTGGATCAACTGGAAGGGATTGTTCCCAATGTACGGCTTATCGTCACGTTTACATTGATAACTTTTGCACATGTAAGTACATTATACGATAATATTATTATACATTGCTCTATATTGTGAGAACATTGGTATTCTGATGTTGAACAATTTTCAGCATGCAACGACAACTGTACTGGTCTATTATTGGATGACCTTGATTCAATGATGGAAGAACTCGCTGTTGGTACTTCACACATTGCTGACGGTTACGTACCTCCCCCCTGGGAGGAATTAAATTACGTTGATTCTAATGCGAACCATCTATTAGACCAATTTACATTGCAAAGTCAACTTAAAGAAAGAATGAAGAACGTGCCCTGGTATGAATACAAAAAGATCATGAAAAATGCTGAAACTTCGTTAAGAATTGTACGTACTTTAAATTCAATTCACTATTTTAAAAGTCTGACTAAAATTTATCAATAATTTTTCTAAGAATAATTTAAATACAACTGAGATTATGAATTCCTTGTATGTATGTGTGTGTGTTCATATGTGAAAAGATGAGTGTGCAATGGGATTTTTTTTGTTTCTATCATTTTTCATGTCAATTCTTGTTTAATATGCAACAGAAAATCTTTCGATTGTATTATTTGCAGGCAAACGAACAGGTCAATCGTGGCAATTTGTGGAAAAACAAATCGAACGATTTAAAAAATAATATTTTTAGTGCGCAAATTGAAATTCGAAATCTTCGCGAACGTATTCAAGGTAAATTAAATTGTTAAAGAATAATCTGGTAATACATTTGTTTTTATTTTTTGTCGATCAAATTTTAATATATATATATATATATATTTTTTTTAGACACTATTTCACAATTGAATTCTTACGGTGACGATAATAAAAGGATTGAAATAAAAAATGCCTTGGAAATAGCAAGAAAGATATTGTACGATTTGAAAAATGTTAATTTATCGAAGAAAACGATAAAAATTGAAAAATTCATCGAGTAAGCATCTCAAACAAATTTTGAATTAATTTTATTTCCTTACAGTTATATATACATATAATATTATAATAAAATAAATGTAATGTTTAAATTTGATTTACAGAGATACCGATGATTATATCAATTGGTTAAATTCTATTTACAATTCGACGGAACCTATAATAATACTTCAAGAGGATACGGATGATTTTATTTTGAAAATGAACGATATGAAGAAAATCTTGGAAGAAACGATGGAAATTTTATACACCTATGACGTACTTTACAAAGATATTAATAAAACTTACGTCGAGTTTGAAAATTATTGCGATAAAATAAATAAATTAACGAAAGATATTAATAATATAGAGAATGGTAAACAATTGATCGAAGAAGCTAAAGGATTCATAATCGATACTCAAAATAATGTTCAAGTTGGTATAATTTTAGAAGAGAAAAAAAATTTTCTAAGAAATTACTTCGAAAAAATTATGTAAATAATAATTTATATTTTTAGGATCTTCCGGAATTGGAAAAAAAATTATCATATTGGATCGAACAATTGCACGTTAAGGAAGAAATATTGTACAGATTGAATTATGAATATAATGATAAATACGTTATACCGGCAATAGAACATGCGAAAAATTTATCCAATTACGTGGACGATTACGTTAGGTACGTAAATCATTTTATTTTTATTTTTATTTTTTTTTTAATAATAATTTACCAAATCACCAAATATTTGTTTATTATTTTTAATTATTCGCGTTTGTTTGTAAATCAATCCCAAACTGATAAGAAATAATTAATTTAAGTTTTCTAAAAATTCATTTTAAAATCCTTTTTTTTTCTTATTATAATAACAAAAAATATATATATATATACATTTATATTATATGCAATATTTGTGCCCATAATTATGAAAGTGGTCTAAGTCAAAATTTAAAAAAAAAAAAGAGTTTATTAGTTATTACGCACCACATTATTTTAAACTAAATAAATTCAATGCAATTTTCACGATATTTTCAAAAATGAGTCGTTAGATAATGTTTGCTTTTTCAATATTACATAGAATTCATATAGTGTTCAAATAGAAATCTTTAAATATCTCGAAGCAAGAGGTACATGACTTAGGCCACTTTCATAATTATGAGCACATTTAATAATTATTGCATGTATATATACAGGGTAATCTGTAACTAGTGGTACAAGCGAAAAGAGGGTGATTCTACATGAAAAAATAAATCGAAAATATAAAATAAAATTTTTTCGTTTGAGGCTTTGTTTTCGAGAAAATCGACTTTGAATTTTCGCAAAGTACGCGTACACTTGATCATGTCTCATTATAACGGACCTACGAACTTTTCAGAAATACCCAACGAACTTTTCGGAAATACCTTACGAACTTTTCGGAAATACCCTACGAATTTTTCGGATATACCCTACGAACTTTTTTGAATTAACCTATATATATAGGTTATTCTTATATGAAAAGTTCGTAGGTTCGTTATAACGAGACATGATCAAGTGCACGCGTACTTTGCGAAAATTCAAAGTCGATTTTCTCGAAAACTAAGCCTCAAACGAAAAAATTTTATTCTATATTTTCAATTTATTTTTGCATGTGGAATCACCCTCTTTTCGCTTGTACAACCAGTTACAGATCAACCTGTATATTTAAAATATCTTATCAGTTAATGGGTTTATGATTTTCGATTGATATATATTATTTGATAATACTTTGTGTAATCGATGCTCGATGACTTGATAAAGTGCAACTCGCGTTTCTGCCAAGCAGTCTGTTTTCGGAGACACGCAACATAGCGGCAAGCCCGCTGAAGGCAAGTCAAGCATACAAGAACATCGTTGACAGCTTGACAGAAGCTAATGATACTGCATTAATGGCTAAAATGACAGCTGAAAATACTTTATCTCAGGTAAATACAAAAAATCAAAACAAATTCTAAACATTTTTCTTGTTTATAAATAACATTTATACACAACTTAACAATTAACACAATTAACAATTTTGGACATTTTGGATTAGGCACGTTTAATTATATTTAATTTAATTATTATTAAAATTGTAATAATTTTATTTTTAAAAAGAAAAAAAATTCTTATATTTTAATTCATATTTTTTCTTTTTTTGTGAATAATTTTACAAATTTAATGCATTAAAAAATAATAACACGAATGAGGAAAAATAACATTACTGAATATTGATATTAAATACGAAATTTATTTTTCATAATAGGTTTTACCGAATGGGAAAAAATCGAAATCATTATTGGACGATTCGTTAGAAGTTTTAAATGGTTCGTTCGAACAATTAAAAAAGTCCAACAATATGATTGAATCCGTGGAAAATTCGATAAACAAAACGAAATATCAAAAGGATGCTTTAAATCATTTGGAAAATACTTTAAACAATACCGAGATACGTAATAACAAAATAAATGTTAAATTACACGAATTACAGAATGAAAGCAATGAACGTAAGTAAAAATGCATCTAAACGGGAAACAAAATTAAACAAAAATCTTATTTAACAAAAATAAAAAATAAATAACCAAAAATAATATGTTTCTATACTTTTTTTTTTTAGTACAAAAAAAATTAGAACAAGTAATGCAGGACAACGATAAAGTATCGGAATCGGTGAACGATATGAAAATGTTAATAGATGATTACAGGAAAGGTATTTCCGATCGATTGCAACCGAAATTGCAAGATTTGAAAAGAGAAGGAGACTCGAAGATCAGCTTGGCCAGTGAAAAATGTACAAAATATTACCAAAAATTGATAAACTAACAAATTTATATACGAATCATTAATTCTTAATTAACTGTGTTTAATTTATTTTCTTTTTTTATTCTTCTTTTTTTTTTTATCTTTTAGTATCAGAAGCTTTGAGCAACATCAAAAAAGCGGATACAAAATTGATAAGTTTATCTAACGCAGCAGTAAAACGTAAAAGTGTTTTCGATAAATGGAACGACACGTTAACATTTAAACTACAAAATCTCAAAGACAAGATTGCTGAAGCAAGAAACACTGCTGAAGGGGTAAACAAACAAATCAAATTAGATATTCTGTCATTATTTTTAAATATTTCATTTAATCATTTGTAATCTTGTAGATTCGAGTATCCGTCAAATCCGTGGAAGATAAAAAATGTGTAAGATCTTACAGACCAAATACTCTTCAACCATCGTCAATGACAACCATAATCATGACTTTTGCTATTCCTGATAATCGAAGAGACGGATCTTTACTTTACTTACCCAGTAGTATCAACGTACGTTCACACATTTTATTTTCCTTATTTAATCAGACGAATATATGCAAACAATTTTAATTATTATTTCAATCGACAATGTTATTGAATTGTTTTTTTTTTTCTTTTTTAATTTAACAGGACGATTTCGTAGCATTGGAAATGATCGATAGGAAAGTTAAATTTGTTTGGAACGTTGGTGGGGGTACAGGAATTTTAACTCATCCTGAAACCATTGAGAGTGGTAATCTCAAAGAGGATCGGTTTTGGTATCGCATTGAAGCCGAAAGGTAAACAAATAAATTAACAAATAAAATTTTGCCCCAACCACCCCCTTACGCTCCCCCAAACAAAAAATTGTCTTTATCTGTATATAACAGAGAATGAATTTTCTTCGCGTTCATAATTTTTATTAATTTTTCTAGAATAAGAAACGTAGGTAAACTGAGCGTGAGAAAACAATCGTCAACATCAGGAAGATATCTTCCAGTTATAAATTCAACCGATCCAGAATATGGTCGATTCGATATAACCAGTATGGATCGTGTTTGGTTAGGAGGTATACCTGAATCTCAAAGAAGACCAGTTGAACTTAACGGTGCTAATGGTTTACCTGCTTGCGTTCATCAGCTTATTCTTGATGGCAAACCAATTGGTTTGTGGAATTTTATTACAACCGCACCTGACATGGCTTGCGAAGCTTGCATGGAAGGGTAATTATTATTATTATTATTAATATTATAATTGAACAGTTTATTATGAAAGTAGTGTAACAATTCATTTTTGCAAAAAAAACATTCAAAAAACACACAATTGTAATATTTTATTTACAATTAATGACAATTACGTGTTTCCTTAATTTTTTTTTCCAAAAAATGAACTCTTATATCACTTTTATAATAAACGTTATCAATTGTAATAATGTACATACTTTTAATTTATATTAATTTATTATATTATTTATGAAATAGAACCGAAGATATCAGAGATGACATAGCTTACAGTTTTAATGGCGAAGGTTATGCTGTTAGAAACAAAGTATCTTCTGGTCCATACAACAAATACACTTTCGGCGTGTCCATCAGTTTCCGTACATACGATGAAAATGCTTTAATATTTTTAGCGATCAATGAAGATAACGTACGTAATATTTATTCTTTTGTTATTTTTTTGAAAATATAAACATTTAAAATCCCCATAAAAAAAAGAAAAAACTCAAAATAAATTTGAACTCTTAACTTATAAAAACAAATTGACTTTATCCAACATAAATCTTACGTTTTCGGTAAAACACTTGCAAAGTGTTCTAACATACAGACAAAATAAAATTGAAATAAATTTGTAATTTGAAAAAAAGAAAAAAAGTAGATTTTATTTGCAACTTCAATTGTACGCTTACAATGTTCTAAAAAAAATAGAAGAAGAAAAAATAAAAACAAAAAAGTAATAATAATAATAAATTTGAATGAATTTTTAATTGAAAGCAAAAAAAGAAAAAATAATAATTTTATTTAATTTAAATTGACAGAATCAACACATCATGATATTTCTTCGAGAAGGAAGAGTTATACTTTACGTTGGTTATGGTGGTAACGTTAGCATGGAAATGTCATCGACTTACAAATACAATAATGGTAACTGGACCACCGTGGATGCCTTTAGACAATATCAATTACGTAAAAGTATTGAGAAATGTAGTTTGAACGTTGGTGAAGAGAATGATAAGAAGATAGGTGCACCAACACCGCAACCGAAAAAAGAAGATATTCCTGACTTATCTCGAGCTAAATATTACTTCGGTGGTGTACCACCCAGTTTCAAAGCTGAAAATATAATATTACCGTCTCAGGTATCCTTTCTAGGATGTATGTCTAATATTATTGTACAAGAAGGCTATGATCCAATGGCTGAACAATATTACGGCGTTGAACCCACCTGTGCTAACAAGGTAAAACAATTTATTTTTATATATAAATATTTATCCGGAAAGGGGGAAAGTTTATTCGTATTTCAATAAAAATACGAAAATACTTTTACCCCGATTCAATATTCGAATGAATTAAATGCATTAATTAATTATTCATTTAATATTTTAGCCATTGAGAACAATTGGTTTTTATGGTAACGGTTATCTCGAACATTCTGCTTTTACATTACGTAAAATAAGTTCATCATTTAGTTTTGCGTTCAGAACACTGCAAGAGGAAACGCTTCTTTTGTTATCCACTTTCCAAGGTCAAGAAGAAAGATTATACGGTCCCCAATCAATGAACGAGGAAGACATATCTGTAATAATTTATTTTTTTTTTATTTCTATATTGTTTTATTAAATTATATTTTTCTTGTTATTATTATTATTATTATTATTATTTTTTTTTTTTTATTATTTTTTTTTTTTTAGAATGAAAATTATTATTCCGTTTGCGTGATTAATGGACAAGTGGAGGTACGATTAAATGGTGGAAAAGGAGAACTCGTTTTAAGATCTAATGATACGTTCAATGATGGAAGATATCACACCATTACGATTATTAAAAAAAGAAAGGAAGTTGAATTAAGAATCGATGATGCATATCAAAATACAGGAAAATTACCAACCAGTGCAGCTATCAAAGCACCTGATTCTAACGGTGGCCTCTTCTTCGGTGGACTTCCGGCTTTGATTAATAATACCAAAATGGTGGCTACTAAAGTACCTTTGTACGGTTCAATCAAGGATGCTATCTTCAATGACGAGTAAGTTTCAACAAAAAAAATAATTTTAAAAAATATATATATTTTATTAAAATTTATAATTAAAAATATTTTATATTCATTTAGAATTCATAAATTTTTTCAAAATAAAAACATTTGATCTAAATTCGTACTAAATGATTTTATTTATTTCAAATTTCTAAATTTGTTTTTAAAAAAAATAGGCAAAATGTTAATGAAGAAATTTTATAAAATAAAATATTATTATTTATTTAGGATTCTAAGATTTGACGAAGCCGTTACTTTCGATCATGCACTGATTGGTCGAGCAGGTCCTAGTATGGGTAAAGATATTCCAAATTACACCCCTTCTGCTTCATTGTCAAGAGGAATGTCAACGCAACCTGAGGGTTGTCAAAAGGTTCCTTATTACTCTTTGGAACCAGGGGCATTAAAATTTGGCGACAAATCGCACAGCCATACTCAGCTATATCTGAATTTTAAAAAATTTTGGGAAAAAAAGTATTCGATAGAGTTTGACTTTCGTACTTATTACCCTAATGGCCTGTTATTTATTACACCGGTAAAATGAAATCTTAAAAATTGAAAAAAAAAAGAAAATAAATCATGAAATTATACGTAAATAATTTTTCTTATTTTTGATTTAACAGGGACTCAGATTGAAACATTATCTGATGGTCATAATCAAAGATGGCCAATTGCTACTTCTCGTCAAATGCAAACAAAAGAAAGAAATTTTATTCAAGACCCCATTCAATGATGGAAATTGGCACCACGTTGTATTGAGTCACGACGAAAGAAGATTAACCCTAACTGTTGATACTCAAACACCTCGTACTATCAAAGTACCACGAAAAATAGGTTTAGCACCGATGATGTATATCGGTGGATTACCGGAAAGTGGTACACCATTACCCGATCAAGTTGTCGTCAAATTGGAAACATTGAAAGGTTGTATCAGAGGTTTGAGAGTTAATGGAAACATTTATGATATGGTTGGTTCTACCAGTCGTGCTTACAACGTTGGCCAATGTTTTCCCAGCGTTGAAAGTGGCGCTTACTTTCAAGACGAGGCTTTCGCAATTTACAGTAAATTTCAATTAATTGATAATTATTAGAATTTCATTGAATCATGTAAAGAATTATTTTAATAAAAATAAAAAAAAATGTTTATATACTTTTTCAGAAAAAAATTTTGAACTCGGAGCTGTGTTAGAATTGCAATTAGAATTCAGAACGTCGGAATTGTCGGGTGTCCTGCTTTCGATAACTGCACCTAGTGGTTCTCCATCGTTGTCCTTGGAATTGAACAATGGTAAAGTTATAATGTCCGGTGATTTGGGTGACAGTAATCCTTTGTACGTTGAACAACGATTCCCAAGCCCTTATGCTATCTGTGACAATCGTTGGCATCGGATTCAAGCTGTTTACAATGACGAAGAATTAGCATTGAAGGTTGACGATCTTGATCAAAAATATGGTTTACCTACTAACGTTAATTATCATTTCATGGAGTCCACTACTTTGGGTCCACTTTACATCGGTGGTTTACCAGGTAATAATAAATTATTTGCTTTTTAATTAATTAAAACAAATTATGTGCATAAACGAACCAAATGTCAGTTTTTTACTAAATTCAATTATTGCTTTTATTTGTTAAAAAAAAAAATTAACACGTTCATTATATTGTATTACAATTAATTAATTAAAATATCAAACATTTTCTTGTTATCACAATGATAAATTCAATGACAAATAAAACTCAAAATAGAAAAAAGAAAAAATAAACGAACTCACACTTGGTTTATTAAGATGCATAATGCAGTTTTAATCGTGTCATTAAATTATTACAAACATTTAAAATATATATTTATAAATATTTTAAGCATCGGCTATGAAAGGAACGTTATTAACGCGAGATCATTTCAATGGGTGCATAAGAAACGTAATGATAGGAGGAGAAAGACGTGATTGGACGGATATGGCCGAACTGCATAACATACACTTGAGTTCATGTCCAATACAATGATGCAAATAATCAATAAGTGCATCGAAACAATCCAAAGACTGTTACGCGCTACGTAGTGACGAACTTTTAATTAAGAATTTTATTTTATTTTATTTCTTTTTTTTCATTTTTTTATCGAATATAAAATAATAATAATAATAATAATAATATTAATAATAATATTAATAATAGTAATAATAATAGTAATAATAATAGTAATAATAATAGTAATAATGATAATAATAGTAATCATTACATACCGAGGTTAGTGCCATAACGCGACAAAGGGATTAATTAATTAATTAATTAAATAAATAATAAATAATAATCCTTAAGACGTAAGACTTAGCGAAGCCAAAAGATGCTAAAATATAAAATCTATTAAGCTCTAAGGATAGTAAAGAAAAAAACTTGGATATCAGTCTGCGTTTCATAAAATCATGGCACAAACTCGTAACACACAGTATCCACGCACACGTGTAAACAATTATTTCAAGTGACTATATATATATATATATATATTAAAACATATATGTGTATAAATATATAATATAAATTTGTAAGTAACAAATCACTGCCCAGTGTTGGAAAATATTTAATTGAATTTACGATTACACGAATTGTTCGATAATTTTAAAACAATTTGAATATTTTTAACGAATTAATGAATTATTAAATCATTTCATTCCACATGTGATTGCAAAATATTATCGAATATTATTTTATGAAAAATATATTCTAAAAATATACGTAGGTTATTTTATTATACTAAGAAATATATCATCGTATATATAAAATAACTTATGGTTTAATTAAAATTTTTTATTAAATCTTTGCAGCAAATGAAATATTTAATTCCCGACAATGAGAGAACATTAAATTATTAATCGAATCATCAATAGAGTAATTGAATTAAATAATACCGAACACTGCCACTGCCATATAGAATAATTATAAATACAATTTAGAATAGGAAACACGCGCGTTGTAAATCAGTATTTAAAGCTATTATTTATTACCATTGATTTATCTATGTAATTATAATTTACAATTGATCGTACTCGAAATAAATTAAATGAGTACAATCAATTCATAGCATATTAAATAGTAAATAGAATAACGAACTAAAAACAAAATGTTTTATACTTTTATGAGGTATTAACGTACTGAATTTAATAATACTTGAGTAAAATAAAAAATATAACTTTTGAAAAAACATAAACAATATTCGCGTAATAGATCTAATCGAAAAGCTATTTATTGTATCGAAATAAAATAAAAAACAATCCTTGTAAAACCAACAGTGCCCGTGACAAAAAAAGTCTTCTCTTTGTGAAAATAATAATAATAATAATAATTAGAGAGAAAAAAAGAATTTTGGAAAAACTATTTTTTAAGAGACACCTTTATCATTCGTATGATTATTGAATTGTAATATATATTTAGATAAATATACAAAAAAAATTAACAATGATACTCTATTATGTAAAAAAAAGAAAAATATACAATGTCAAAATATATTTATCTAATCATTTGATCAACCTAATTTAATTCCCGTATTAATGGCGTACAGAGAAGTTCTATCCATGCATTAAAGTTACTAATAAAAATCAAATTCCTAATTATCGACGGTTCAAAGAATTTGAATCTGTAATTACCGACCGTACAAAAAATTCTTTTTTACCGACAATCTTAAAAAAAACATGAGCCAATTATTACCGACTGTAAGCAATATACCGACGACTGTATAAACTCGAATTAATTATTACCGACAGAATAATCAAAAATAATTAGCAAAGCAATAAATATAAAAAAAGAATACCATTATAGATATTAATTCTCATGCACTTCATCTGATCATAATCCATACTTATCACAAACATTCCACACTCATACTTGGTCTACTCTTTGTCAATGTTTTTCACTGATGTGAGAGAATTACCATTCACATTAGATCACGAAAACATTTAAGCCTCCCCACCACGCCAAGGTGGTAGACCATCGGGGAGGAAATTCATACTAGATGGCACCACTATGAGTATTAATACATAGCCCCAAATGTTTAAAATAAATTAATTATATTATTTTAAAGGCTTCTATTAACTATTATGATGTTAAATTAAACCAAACAATCAGTAGTATAATTATAACAAATAAACATTTATGCTTAAAAAACTAGTAATTATGAAATCTAATTTATATTGTATCATGTAAGATTACATTAAATTGCATTACTTAACTTAACTTAACTTAATTATCATAAATTTTAAATATAAATGTATTAAACATATATTAAAATATTTCAAAAAGTATATATCTAATGTAATAAATCTAACTAAAAAGGGTTAAATGTTATTTTTCTGTGCGATGAGTAGTAACTTTTTGTAGAAAAAAGAATTATACGCATACGTACTGTTCGTCTGTAGAAGTTGACCCCCGCATGCAGGTGGAGGAGTATTCCTGAAGTCTCATTGGCTGAAACAACCGGCTGCTTCCCCCACTGCATCGAAAGTACTAACTGAACACAAAGGAACAGTAATATATAGATGATAAAGTTTAGAATGACAGCATCTTTGAGAGTTCCCATTGCGCACTAACGATATCAAACATTTAAAGTTAAAATGGCTGAGCTGATAGCTATACCATTGAAAAAACCGTCCGACGTAGATGTTATTAAACCGTTAACAAATATTATTAAATCAACATATAACAGTGGTGGAAATAATCAAAAGGATTATACCGAAGCTATACAAGAATTTAGCGTATTAAGGAACAACGCATTATGGCGAGCTTTCGAGAAATATGAAAGTTCGTTGGAGGTTATTTACAAGTATGAGTCATTCAATTTAATCATTATTCTGATTATAACGTTTTATGCAATATTAATTTCATAAATACCCTAATACATTAATTATATGTTTAAACGTGGGTACCATCTATTCGTCCTTTTTTTCAATTCATTTTTTCTATCATACATTTATTATTATTATATTAATATTATTATTATTAAATTGATAATGCATCCGTCTCAAAAACTGTGATTCAATTTAAAATAACATATGTCTTTTTTAATACATTTATGTTAATTAATTGTATATACTAAATATGTCATTTAAATTCGTATATACGTATCATTATTTTATGCTATTACAATTAAAATAAATTATTTTTTAACAAATGTGTATAGGTGCATTTATGCAGGCTTATTATACATACATGAAAATTGCATAAACGTTGATCATTGATTTTTTTTAATACATCATTTCTTTTTTAAATATAATATACGTTTTGTATGTTTGTTATAGCTATTACGACCAATTATGTGCTTTAGAAGGGAAGATACCAGCGCACGAATTACAAATACCATTTAAATGGAAAGATGCATTTGATCGTACGATTTTTGGTGGAAAATTGAGTTTAAGTAAGAATTATTTAATTATTAAATTATTCTTTTTTACTGGTATATTATTATTACTAATTTTTTTTTTCATTATAATATAGATAAAAAGATTACCACTTAAGTTATAGATAAGATAACATACTTAATTTCAATTATCACTAAAAATATCTTTCACCCTAATAAATCCTATATGTGCAACAAATATTATAAAATATTATAATATTAATATTAATAATAATAATAATATATATATATAGTTCAAAATACATGTATTCGTTTACAGCGATTAGTACTTTAGCCTATGAAAAGGTTTGTGTACTTTTCAATATTGCTGCCTTACAAAGTTCAGTAGCTGCAAGTCAATCTTTGGAAAGTGATGAAGGATTAAAACTAGCTGCTAAATTGTTTCAAGTTAGTCTTTTTTATTATCCTTTTAAATTTACGATTAATTAATACAACGAAACGAAATTAAATTAAATTAAAAATAAATTTTAGCTATCCGCTGCTATATTTAATCATTTAAAAGGAACCGTCATGATAGCAATTCAACAAGAACCAACACCTGACATTAGTCCTGAAACATTGGGCGCATTATCTTCCTTGATGTTAGCTCAAGCTCAAGAAATTTTTGTCCATAAAGCCATTCATGATTCTATGAAGGAAGTTATTATTGCAAAATTGGCTGCACAGGCTGAAGAATTGTACGCAGATGCTTTGAAGTTATTCCAAAAAGAAATATTCCGTGCATTTTGGGACAAAGAATGGATTCCCTTGGTAAAATTTTTATTCTACTTTTTATTTAACGCTTTGATGATGATGATGATGATAATAATAATAATAATAATAATAATAAGGATAATATTTATTTTTTACTTATATTTTTTTCATTACTTTAGATCGCAGGTAAACAAGCAGGCTATCGTGCAATGATGGAATTTTATCAGTCGCTTGTATGTAAAAATAATAAATGCATTGGAGAAGAAATAGCAAGAGTAGAAGTAAATTTTAATTATTATATAATTTAATACGTTTAAATGTTATAAATGTGATAATTGCTTTAACAAAAATATTTTCATATGTTTTTTTATAGCACGCTGTTGAATTATTTAAGGCTGCTCAGCAACGATCAAACAAGCCTAATTTATTCCAAGAATATGCTAACAGGGCACAAAGGAATTTAACCGAAGTTAAAAAGGACAATGATTTCATTTATCATGAAAGAATTCCAGATATCAAAACTTTAGAACCAGTTGGAAAGGCTCATGTCGCAAAATTAGTGCAAATGCCTGAAGTATTAAGTTCAAACTTTAAAGGTTCCATTTCCATTATTTTATATTATATTATATTGTATTAATATTAATATTAATTATGTTTTATTTTATGTGTATTAATAATTTTATGTTTTTAGATCTCTTTGAGGAATTATTGCCAGTTCGTGTACATCAAGCTATGTCTTCTTACGAAGTTCGTCGTAATGAACTTGTTAATTCAGAAATATCCAAACTACGAGAAATGACACAAGTTCTTAACAGGTATATAATTATTTTATATATAATACAATATGAAATATATATTTATAAAATTATTATAAATAAACGTAATATATTTTTTATTTTACAGTGTATTAGCAAGTTTAAATTTACCGGCAGCTATCGAAGATACTAGTGGAACCGAATTGCCGCAATCATTGTTAGAAAAAGCAAAATATGTGCGAGAAGCCGGTGGTAAATCAAGTTTAGAAGCAGCTATGAAAGAACTCCCAGAATTATTGCAAAGGAATCAGGAATTATTAGATGAAGTAAATAATTAAATTTTAATTATAATTATTATATAATCAATTAATATTATAATCATTATCAATGTTATTCTAATGTTAATTATAGTGCGAACGAATGCTTAAAGAAGAACGCGAATCTGACGATCAATTGAGAGAACAATTTAAAGAACGTTGGACAAGAATATCCAGTGCTAGATTAACGGAACAATTTATTGCTAATGCACGTAAATATCGTGAAATTATTAATAGAGCTGTCTCCGCGGATAAGGTAACAAAATATATAATCTCATAATATATATAATTAATTTATGAATATGTATTTCATACTAATACAAAAATTATTTCATTATCTTTGTTACTTAGGAAGTTCGTAATAAATATGAAGCTCATCAAGAAGTTATAGAAATTCTAAGCATGGATGAAAGTCAATTATCTATGGCTGTACCCAATGGTTCAGCGCTGCAAGAAAGTAACGTAGTCATGCAGTTAAGAAAATTGATGGAGGATGTAAGATCATCAATCTTACAACAAATTTTACATCTTTCCACATAACTATTACACGAATAATCATATTTACTACTTTCAGGTAGAAACATTGAAAGCGGAACGTGATGTAATTGAAACTGAATTAAAATCAGCTACGACAGATATGAAAACAACGTTTTTGAATGCTCTTTCGAAGAGTGGAGCCATCGACGAACCGAACTTATCTGTCGAAAGTATTGGAAAGTGTTACGGACCTTTGCAAAAACAAGTACGAGAAAGTTTGGCTTGTCAAGAACAATTGATAGCTGATATTCAGGTAGTACACGTATATATTTACATTTATTATACTTCGATCATTCCAAAAAAAATTAGAGTGATGAGAATTTATTCATAGAATTATTTTCATTCGATTTTACTTTTCTTTCTTTTCCCAGAGTACTCATGCAAAGTTCACAAACGAACAATCTGGTAGCGGAAGTTCAAGGGAAACTATGCTTTGTAGATTGGCCTCAGCATATGACACGTTTAAAGAATTGAAGAGTCATCTGAATGAAGGAATCCAATTTTATAATGATTTAACGCAGGTAATATTAATTATTTTTTGATCATTAGTGTTCATCGTTAATTAAAATACATCCAGATGAATTAAAATGAAATGATTATATTTCCAGCTATTAGTCATTTTCCAAAATAAGATATCGGACTTTTGTTTTGCTCGTAAAACTGAAAAAGAAGAATTATTAAAAGATTTAACGACTAATTTAAGTCATACCGGTCCAGCTACAACGCCAACTATTCCATCTCATCACGAAGGTAGAAAAATCATCAAATATATGAGCCGCCTATTTTAAAAGTGGCCTACCTCCATTTATGTTCAAATCGAGATATTGAAGGGTTTGCATTTCAATGCAATGAAAAATATATGTACAAAATACTAACGAGTTAACTGCTTAAGTGTATCTAAAGGCTTTAAATTTATATTTTCTATTAAAATAGTGGCAAAAAGTAAATAATATGCGTTTTCTAACCACGAATGGAGTTAGGCCATTGTCAATATTAACAATTTGATTTGTTATAAAATTTCGAAGGAACTTAACTCCATTCAACATAATTTAAGATGCTTCAAATTGAAGAAAACAATGCTCAATTTATTTTACATATATTTAAAACACTTCAGAAACATAATTTATGCGATTCAAAACATTTTTTTAACTACATAACGTACAAAATTACAAATATAATCTACAAAACAATTTACTACTCATCTACATTTTGTGTGTGTGTGAAAAGGATTTGAAAAAATCATGATCATGTGTGAAACCCCGACGTGGTAATAAATTTAGGATTTTAAAATTTTCATTCTCATTCATTGATGTCTTATAGAAAATTTAATACGATTCATTCCTGATAAAACGCATCCAACATATTTTTAACCAGTTTATTGATTCTTCATCAGAATTCTTTACCCTTTTCAAAATTTTGTCTTCTAATAATTTTGTTATTACAAAATCTTTTTGTCTCATTTTATTTATAATAAAGTATTATCATATTTACTCGGAATATAAGTAACCTCAAATGCTTTATTGATACATAACATAAAGTTGTACAATAACCAAGTGCAACCGGAAAATAATAAATGACGATTAGAGATAAGCCACTTACACAATAAACTTTTCATCATTCTGTTGGTCGGCAAATTTTCTTCTTACAAAATCTTCATGATTTTAAATATATTTGTAACAAATTGCTTCAGAATGAAAAGATCATGTAAAAATGTAACTATTACGGTAGCTAACTCGATTTTTTTTTTTAAATGGAGATAAGCCACTTTCAAAATAAGCGGCCCATATAAAAATATTCTTTTTAAAATGATTACAAGTATTACAAAATACATAAACTTAAATTTCTCTTCGATAATTGTACTTCACAGCTAATGCGAGTCAACAACAATCTAATCCAGAGAATCCAGCAGCGCCAAATTTACCATATCCTGTTCAACATCCTGGATCAATGCCTGTACCATACAGTGTAACTCCTGTAGCCCCGTACCCAACTTATATGCCTCCACCAATGCCAACAACATATAATCCATATGCAACTATGCCATATCCTACACAAGGTATGTCATTAAACAATTTTAATGCATGAAATATTAGCATTTTATTTGCTTTCCTAATTGTGTCTTGTTTTTTTCTTTTGGTCTTTTAGGTGGATATAATCAAGCTTTACAACCAGGTGCATATGGTGCTTATGGCTATGGTAATTACGCTACACTGCCTCGATATGGTGGTTCTAACCCTCCTCTTTAATAGATATATATATATATACTACTGTGATGGAAATTGAAAAAGTTCATGTTCTATATTAAAAGCAGAGTCAACTGAGAGAGAAAGTGATATGCAATTTTATCACATTTCCACAAGATAACATTATTATTATTATTAATTATTATTATTATTACTATATTTGAAAAATCAATTGAAATATTTTATATTTAAGTTTTAAATAGATATTTAATCGCAAATACACATCTTGTAATTAGATAATAATTGTTACCGTAATAGAAAATTATTGTAAGTATTTTTCAATGTATATTAAACGATGCCTTGATTGTCGCTTCGTCAAATATTAATTGCTTATTTGCAAATCATAAATATATAAATATATATTTTCTAAGATAACATAATTATAAAACAACTTAATTTTGGAATATATTAATTTGTTCTCAAAGAATAATAATTTGAAAAACCTTTTATTGTAAACCCCGAAATCATCCCTATGAATATAGTAATACTCTTTATATAAAAATAATATTATTTATTATTCAATTAACACGTTCATATAATTATCATGAATATATATATAAAAAAAAAAGAAATTTATATGAGATATAGTATTGTTAGAATTACTTTCTTTATTACATCATTACAGAAAGAAATAATTGTCTGCGTTTCTCCACTAGAGTATAGACTTTATTACAATTGTAAAAATTGTATTATTTCCAATTACCGGATAATTACTATAATGAGGATGCTTTGTTATATATTCATATAGAAATAATATGGAAATAGACATGCGACAAATCAACACAGCAAGTACGATTATGATGATTTTGTCTCTTTGTTTTTTTTCTTTTGTTAATAAAATATCTTTTAATTATGATCCCTTATATAATTTTAAAATATTTATTGCTCGACGTGCATTATTAGCTTCTATCGTAAATTAATTTATTTATATTGATCGGATTAAAAATTTTATTACATGTTAAAAGATTTTCTTACTTTAAGAGTAGCTAAGCATCCGCATTATTTACACAAAAAGTTTCATTATTTTGTGTAAATCTTTTTTATTCAGGAAATATTATGATTTTTGTATTAATAAATCAGAGTAATATTATAAGTCTCTAAAAACTAACACGCACACGCACCACACATTTTTACACGTTCTCTAGAGAACCATTATATTTGTAAAAAGGGCAAAATAAGAATATTATCGTTGTTACTTTTCTTTTTTTATTACAGATTTACTTTAAACGCAACAATTTTAATAAATCACGTTTATATTTATTTTAAATTCCCTTTTTTTTTACTGCAAATTCCTTTTAATGTAATTAATAAAAAGTGTATATTTATTTATTTATTTTTTTGGATTATTTTACTTCTTTGACATTCTACAGCTAATTAATTAAACAGAAATTATTGTGTATTATTATGAAAAGAGTATTTTGGGGGAATGCGTCAGGATCTCCATAATTAGTTTTATGAACTGATATTTTTAAAACCGATAAAATTATACATTACAAAAAAAAGTGATTATGTTGCTTGTCCTTAAAATTGCCTTGTTAGAGGAATGTAGAACAGCACATTTAGAATAATATATGAAAATGAAACTATATACTGTTTTTTTTTTCTTTAACATACATATGCATATTAATTAACTTGTCCATTTCTTATGCGTAATAGTCACTTTCACTTTATAAAATATGAAAACCAAATTTGCATGATATTACTTTTAATAATTATCTCAGTTATGACCACCTGTTTGTTCTTGATATACTTCAATTACATCGTCGTTTTCCATTTCAAGCTGAAATTCATTATTATTAACCTCTACACTTTAATACATACCTACATATATATTATATATATATATATATAAATCAAACTTTATCATTGCCGATGATATACTCAAAGCAAGACATAAATAACTTTATAAAAATCTTTGTATATTAAATTGAATCAAATTACCTGCTTTGGTGTTTCATCATCGTTAATTCTTTTACCATCAAAAAGAAACCTCAGCGATGTCATAGGTACACCCTAATTAAAATGATATAAGCTTATAAGATTACGTTACTACATACTGTTAAAAACATATTAACCCTTTCGGCCATTATTTTGCATTTATTAATAGCAAAAAATGCAAAACAAATATGCACGGCACCTATAGGCGCTGTTAACGTAGGAGAAGTGTCTATAGTTGAGCGCCTAAAGGCGTTGTTCGCAGCAAAAGGGTTAAAATAGTACATCGGAAAGAAATTTTACAACCAACAACTATTACAGAATATATAAAATGTAATTTATAGGAACTAGTGTTTCCTTTTACTATCGAAAAGAAATCTCAACATCATAGATCATTCCTAATTAAAACAAAATAAGATTATAATATTACTTTACACTGTACAAATATATCAAAGTAATATATTGAAAGTAACCTTCCTAACCGATAACTATTACAAAATATATAAAATACAAAATACACCAAACAAGTAAATTAAAAATAAATAATGTAAATAGAATGAGATACTTACGACGCGATCACTATAAGATTTCTTAAGCTTCCCCATTTGGGTGGTCATCTTTACCCTAAAGTGAATTTCGTTGCTATCCTAAAAGAATTATTTACGTATAATTTAATTGACTTGTAGAAAACATATTAATGCGATTAAAAAAAAAATTGATAATAAATAATTTAAACAAATTCTTACATTTCCAACCACTTTCAGCTTGATGTATTCTGAATTTGCGTCACCTGGACCGGCTTCAGGTTTTTGTTCCTAATTCACAAGGTTAGATTTCGATTAAATTCGGTCAATCGATTGTTAATTTACTATTTATTACTATCCTTATATTTTCAACAAATATTTTATAATTTATTACTTGAAATAAAGCTTACCTGATTCTCAGACATCGTTATTTATTAAAGATTGTAATAATTCTTGACCACGCGCCAGAAAGAAACTAAACACAAGCACGCAATATGGCGCCACGCTTTTGTCAGTTTCACAGCCTCCTGTAGTCCGAAAATAAAAAATTTTCAATGTTTCATTAATTTACGTTCTAAAACACATTCTATTTTCTACACTGATTTTACTTATATTATATATCTTCCCTTACTTTCTTCTCCTATTTCTGTGTATAATATTTATATTTATTGATGTATGTATTTGTTAATACAATTAATGTTAATTCAACCGTTGATTTATTCACTAACTTTAACTTCCTACCTTTTCGAATATTAAAACAAAAATCAGAATAGAATCTTAATTCAATACTAAAGGAAAATAATATTCAAGTAAATGTGTTCGAGAATCTTACCGTTGGTAACAGAATGTGTTCTCAAAACCTTAAAGTTTTGATTACAAGATTGTTTGTATTGTAAACTACATTAAGCCTAATTCACAGGTATAATTGTTAAAAATCGAATATTAAATTATTCTTTAAAAAATACAATCGTTTCATTTGTTTTCCTAAAATAATTATTTTATAATTATAATTGAATTTTTATTCGCAATTCAATTAATTTGAAATGCACAATATTTTGTTAGTTTTTATTGTGTAATATATATTTAGAAAAATTTTCTTAAAAATCCACCTTAAAATTTACTAGTTCAAAAAATTGTTTTGTTGTTTTCTATTTAGATAAAACAAAAATTAGTGTCAACAATAGTCACAATGTTCCGTAAGGTGAGAAATTATCAACAAATATTTTAATCATATTGTTAATTCTAATTTACATGTGACCGTCTAACATTGTATTTACATTTATATATTTTGCAGGTTATATCACATGGGCGCATTCAAACAAATCTATTAAAAAATGTATACTTTTCTTCACAAACAAATTTACCAAATACTCTTGAAAAAAGTATAGAAGATAATTATATTATTACTTTTTTTTTTTAATAATTTATATAATATGTTATGTAGAGAAATTTAATATTAAAACATTATTGTAATGAATATTATTTTAGCTCTTAATCAAGTAACATTACTCGGAAGAGTTGGTGGAAATCCTCAAGAGCGTGGAACTGCACAACACCCCGTAGTGATTTTCTCATTGGCAACCCATCTCAATTATAAATATGAAAACGGTATGTATATATGGATTTTTATTAATTTTAATGAATTACTTTATCAAAAATTCATATGTATTATTCATTTAATATTATTATTTTTATTTTATTTCAGGTGAATATATGCAAAAGACTGATTGGCACAGAGTATGTGTTTTTAAACCTTTCCTCAGAGAAAATGTTAGTACTCATTTGAAGAAAGGTCAACGCGTCTTAGTAAATGGAAGATTAAGTTACGGCGAATTCAAAGACGAAGAAGGAAATATGAGACCAACTACAGCTATTATAGCAGATGATGTTATATTTTTCCAATAATATTAAGTAAAATATATTTTAAAATTTTTAAATATTCGTATATCTTGTATTTTTTTAATTTTTATTAATTCATTGATATGTTACAATGAAATATGAAAATATCAATACATTATAATAGAAAGAGCGTGTAGATATGAAAGTGATAACAAAAATTGCATGATCACGAAAGAAATGTTTGAAATATAAATGAATTTCTAAATATTTAAATATCTCTTTCATATTTTATAACATTACGTTATAAGAATATGTGTTCCAGTGCAAAGATTATAATCTTCCTTTTTATAATTCTTTGTTAAACGACATTTCTATTAAAGTATCTCTGAACAAAACATCAACAATACCCATAAATTGAACTAAACATTTACTATGGAAAATAAAAAAGCTGTGTCATTTAAAATATTGCGAGGTTGTTTCACATGGTTTTGGAAAGTGCTTAAACGATATTTAAACAATTGTACTATCCATGGCGTTAAATATCTTGTTTCTGAAAATTGTTTATACGTAGAACGGTAAAATAATAGAAAATAATTATTATAAAAATATAATATTTTAAATCGTAACATCTTTTCGTGTACTTTGAAGATTATTTTGGCTTCTATTTTGCGTATTGAGCTGGTGGGGTTGTGCCATAGTAATCATGGATAGTGTCTCAGAATATAATGAATATCCTGTTGACGTTACCTCGGATACATTATACGTTAATTGGGAAACACCATTTCCTTCGATTGCAGTTTGTATTAAATCTTCCAATAAATTAAAAATCAGCTACCAGTTTAAACAGTATGTTAATCAAATAAAAATAATAATATTAAATTCTTCCTAATTATTTATCATATTCTTTTCTTTTATGATTACAATTTCGTAGACAACCATCGACATTGGAATTTTCATCTAAAAAGCAGGGTGTTACTGCCGATGAATTACTGAAAGCTTACCAATCAGTATATTTATCTCAATATTCTACTTATTTAAATAATAAAATATTTAATATATATATATATATATATATATATATATATATATATTTATTTATTTATTATTCTTATAGGTGCAAATACCATGTACAGAAATATTTGCTAATTGCATTTGGAATAACGTAAAATTTGATTGTTGCAAAGAATTCAAGCCACTGAACAAGACTGGTATTGGTTATTGTTATGCAGTTAATTCTAAACATTTCAAACCACATGACAATTCAAATATTAAATTTTGGATTAATGGTACTACCGAAAGTGGAAATTTTGTGATCGATCTTATAGCAAATCAAACAACAATAGCTTATATTCCTCGGTATATTAGTGTTCGTATATTCTTTCTTTTCTCTTCCTAATTACTTAAACTATTTTGATTTTTATATAATTAAATAATGTAGGTATACATATTGGATAATTTGCAATTACCGATATCTGGTACTTTGTCTGAATACATAATTACAAACATGAGAAAAGGCTGTTCCACTCGAATTGAATTTGTAATGGTGCCTACATTTAATGAGAAACCAGTACAATCTTCTTTAATAAAACAAAGAAATTGTCGATTTAGTCATGAGATTGATAAGGACAGTATGTACGAAATTTATAGCACTGATTCCTGTGCTATAGAGGTATAATTTTTAATAAACATTTATACAAGATGTCTCTCCGAGGTTTTTACAGCCAAAAGTTTGACATCCCGGAACCCTAATGCAACCCTGTATATATATATATATATGTAGATATTTTTATCTTTTCATATTTTTCTTTCTTTTTTTTCTAATAGGTGTATACACAAAAAATGATTAAGTATTGTGGTTGCGTAAGTTTTTATTATCCTGTTCCTGCCGGTGCAAGAACGTGTAATTTAACTGAATTAGTATGTTTATCAGAAAATAAGAAGGATATTTTATTGGTTACAAATGTAAATAAAAAATGTTATCCTCTCTGCGAAGGAACTACAACAAATGTGTAAAAACTCTTATCATATATATATATATATATATATACGTTTCATTGCATGAAAAATTTAATTATACAATGTGATCCTCTTATTGCAGATATCATGGCAGCCCTATAGAGTACAGTGATGTAGATGACGATGTAATAAGAATAGATTTCATATCGTTGTCCCGTCCATTAGTACAATATCGTCGATACATTGTACGCAGTCTTTTAGATTTGATAGGTAAATATGTTCTATTAGATTAAAATAATACTAAAAAGTAAATTGAAATTTTTTATTTTTTTGTCTACTTTTTGTAACTTTAATCAAACAAAAAAATATTGCACCCTCACTTTTGGATGGTGCAATAAGTCATTTCATAAGATACCATAAAAATGATTTATTATGAATGTGAGAATATCTTATCAATAAATATTTCCAAATTTAACGATAATATACAACCTGTAAATAGATTGATGAAAAATTAAATTACGAATAATCTTCTATATAAATAATAATTGAAATTGTTGTATTCAGTTGCAGTAGGAAGTGCTTTAGGATTATTTATGGGTGCCAGTATTCTCAGTTTCTTCGAGATACCTTATTGGTTTTTTCTTCGTCGTGATGAAATTGTATAAATAATAAAATCTAATCGACTCTGTTGATTTCCTGATATAAGCACATTATTCGTTTTGTTTATTTAAAAAATAAACTAATAATATAAAATATTGTAGTAAGTTAGTCATAATTCTTAATAATAATCAGATGATATAGTCAGGATCAATAAATCACTGTTAATAAAAAAATCACGACTATGTGTATTTATTGGAACAATTAAATTTACTTTAATGCACTGTACCAAATACTTTTCTTAATATCCTAAGATTCTTATCACAGGTGATATAAATAAGATATCATCATTTATGAAGAGATTTAAGATAAGTGTCTTAGACTGCAAAGTTTTTTAGTAAACAAATAGAAATGTCATAAATGCATCATACTCGTGGAAATTTCATTAAATGTTGTATAAAAAGGAATATAAAATAAGTCTAGAAAACTAGAAAGAGATGAATAAGAGACTGTGCAAGAATTGAAAATGTCAGCAGTCACGACCGATCAACAAGTCCAAATTGTATCTAATTCTGACTTTAAATTTGAAGGAAATTCAATATCTAACAAAGACATGTATCAATGTGTACTGACTACGGAAGATATTCAAGAAATAGTTCATCGTGTTTTAAATCAAAATGTTGAGGTAATTAATTATTTTCTTCGACCATATTCGGATGGAAAAATTGGCTTCCTTGGTTCGCATCAAAAGCTTTGCATTACGATAAAACATAAGAATCAAAAAAAGACTTTCTTCTTTTTTGCGAAAATCATACCATATGACGTACCTGATCAAGCAAATTATATAATAGGAAATGGTATTTTCGATAAGGAAGTAACATTTTACAAAGAAATAATACCAATATTATACGAAAATTATCGAGGAGAACGTTGGAGTCCAAATTGTTACAAAGTGAAAGAAAATTATTTAATATTCGAGGATTTACAAAGGGAAGGGTATACAATGCGAAGCAAACTTTTTAATGAGGAACTTGTTACCTCAGCTTTGACAACAATTGCAAGAATGCATGCTGCATCATTAATAGCAGAGCATCATCTAGGGATGCCGTTTAACAAAATTTTTCCTAACGCATTAGAAGAGTCAGGATTTATTATGATGGGACAACGTAAAAATTGGTTTGATGCAGGAGTCAATGCGAGTATTCAAATCGCTAAAAATCTTGGCCTCGATTCGAGCTTGATATCAAAAGTTGCAGTAAAAGTCTTAGAAGCTATTAAAAGTTCTACAAAGAAAATAAACGTTATCAGTCATGGCGATCTTTGGGCTAACAATATGATGTTTAACAATGAAACACCTCCAAAATGTCTCTTAATTGATTTTCAATTACTCAGATATTGTACGATAGCGCACGATATTTCTCAATTACTTTATTTATGTACATCCCGTCGTTTTCGAGAAACACGCGAAGAAGATATGTTAAAACATTATTACAAAGTTTTTTGCGATACTTTAAAAGCTAATCAATTTTCCGGACAATACCCGTCTTGGTCTGAATTACTTCAAGGAATAGAAGAACAACGTTTAGGTTCTTTGATAACTGCTATGATATATTTTCCAACTGTCTTAATGGATGAAACTCTTAGTGCACAAATTCTGAATGATACCAATTGTTATACTGAATTTGTTTTCCGTAATAGAACTGATATTGTTATAAATAATATGAAACGAGATTTGGAATATGCTAATAGAATTACGGAAACGATTGAAGAGTTAATTGAAATAGCTCAACATCTCGACGAATTACCTGTACCATGTTAATTAAATAATAAATTATTAATTGTTTTCAAATGTTAAATAATTTTGTTTACCTTTTAAAAAATATCTTACTAATATATATTTATATCCATACTTTACGACAAACATATCCTAATCTTTTCTTAATCTTTTTTTTAAAAACATTTTTATTATATCCATATAAACAAAATATTTCTTATGTTTCAGTAATTGTTCCAAGCGGAAGTACTATAGTTTTTAAAAATGACCAATCGTGACTAATTAATGGTTGATTGGGCTTATCAACGCCCATACTCGCTGAAACTGATGATAGTTCCTGTTTTATCGCTTTTACGTGTTTAACATTATCTTCTTCATTTATCTTTTCGTCTTCCGAATTTTCGGAGTCTTCCGTGTCTGCCGAATCATTGAGATCATCATTATGATCTTCCGATCTAAAAAAAAAATATATTTTGTTGAACTTCATAGCATTCTTTTAAATTTTCATAATTATTTTAATTATATGTTTATTAAATTAAACATTTAATTTTGTATTACCTTGACAATGTATTATTCGAAGATTGTTCTTTTTGTGATAACAAAGATAGTAAATAAGTTGCACAAAGCATTCTCATCGGTGGTAATGTATGAGCGGCAACATTGAATATCTAATAAATAAAAAAATAAATAAAAATAATATAAAAATTATTTACAATATAAATTAGTTAAAATATTAATTATATTATTTTCTTAATAAAATACATTTAAATCAAATATTTAAAATTGTTTAATC